CGCTGAGCAGGGAGCCCGATGTGGGGCTCGATCCCAGGACCCTGGGATCATGACCTGAGCCGAAGGCAGACGCTTAATGACTGAGCCACCCAGGCGCCCCGTCGGCTCAGGTCTTGATCTTAGGGTCGTGAGTTCAAGCCCCATGTGGGACTCCATGCTGGGCATGGAACCTGCTTAAATAAAATGATACGGTAAACAAATGCAAATATTCTCTGAGAGTATATTTTCATCTTTGGCCGTAAAGAGTTCTACAAGTCAAGTTTCAAGGTCACTGAATAATTTGTTAAAGATAACCAAGTGCACAGGAAATAACACAACCTGAATAAGAATCAGCCAAAACAACAGATAGAAGTAAACTTACAAAAGCTTACATATTGGAATTACCTGTTATTGATTATTAAAATAAGTATGATGGTGGGGGGCGCGCCTGGGTGGCTCAGTCAGTTGAGCGTCCGACTCTTGATTTTGGCTCAGGTCATGATCTCAGGGTTGTGAGCTCCATGCTCAGTGGGGAGTCTGCTTGAAATTCTCTTTCCCTCTCTCTCTGCCCTTCTTCCCTCCCCCCAAATAAATAAATAAAGCTTAAAAAAATAAAATAACTATGATGGGCTATATTTAAGGAAATAAAAGACAAGTTCTTTTTTTCTAGCTGCTTTTGAGATTTCCTCTTTATCACTGGCTTTGAGCCATGTTATTATGATGTGTCTTGGCATGGTTTTCTTCATACTTCCTATGCTTAGTGTTTGTTGAGGTTCTTAGATCTGGGGTTGGTAGTTATCAGATTTGAAGAACTTTGGTATTATTTCTTCAAATATTTTTTCTTCCTCCCCCCATCTCCTTCATGGACTTCTATTACGAGTGTATTAGGCTGCTGGAAATTGTCCCGTGGGTCACAGATTGCTCTTTTGTCTTTATTCTTCTTTGCTCTTTGTTTCATTTTGGGTAATTTCTTTCTTTCTTTTTTTTTAATTATTATTATTATTTTTTTAAAGATTTTATTTATTTGTTTGACAGAGAGAGAGAGAGAGAGCAGAAACACAAGCAGGGGGAGTGGGAGAGGGAGAAGCAGGCTTCCCACCGAGCGAGGAGCCCAATGCGGGGCTCGATCCCAGGACCCTGGGATCATGACCTGAGCCGAAGGCAGACGCTTAACGACTGAGCCACCCAGGCGCCCCTTGGGTAATTTCTTTTAACTGTACCTTCCAGTTCATTAATCTTTCCTTTTGCAATATCTAATCTGCTTTTAATCCCAGCTACTGTATTTTCCACCTCAGATATTGTAATTTTCATCTTTAGAAGTTGGGTCATTTTTTGTATCTTTTATGTCACTTCTTAACTTTTTGAACATATAGAGTTAGAACGGTTTTAATATCCTTAACTGTCTGTGTCATTTCTGGGTGGGACCCAGAATTGATTGATTTTTCTCATTATTATTTTTTTTTGCATGTTTGGTAATTTTTTATTGGATGCCAGAATTTTACTTTTTGTGCTGGATATTATTTAGATTTTTATAACATTTGTTTGATTTGGGACATGGTTTTTTTGAAAATGGTTTGATCCTTTTGAGTCTTGCTTTTTAAATTTGTTAGGTGGAAAGCAGACTAGTGTTCAGGGCTATCTATTCCTCACCAAGGAAGCAAGACCCTTCTGAGTATTCTACCCAATATCCTGTGAATTGTGTGGTTTTCCCAGTTTGGTGGGTGGGGACAGGCATTATTACCAACCTTGGTGAGTGTTGGTATGGTTTTTGTAATCTTTTCTGGTGGTCTTTGCCCAGACTTGTAATTTGCTTGCATGCATGCTCTGATCAGTACTCTGCTGAATACTGGAGTGGGACCCTCTGCTGATGTCTGTGGTTCTCTCTTTGTGCACCTCTCTGCCCTCTACTAGTTGGCCATGCAAACTCTGTCTGCCTTATTCTTATTCACATAAACTTGTTTCCTTTGCTGCCTTCCTCCCCCATAGTCCCCAGTTCATTTTGGATGACTCAAGGCCATCAACTTTGAGGACCTTTTCCCCAGAAATAGTAATCATTTTTAACCATCCTCCCACGGCCTTCTCACGATGAATGTAAAGTATTTGCAGGCTGACTAGGGTCAGAAATGTGGTTTGATGAGTTTGTTGAGTTTTTATATGAGCTGGTTGTTCTACTTTGTTCCCTTCTCTATCAACTACATATTAGCTGAGTTCCTACTATATTCCCAGCATCATATAGGGTGCTGAGTGTGAAGTAGAAAGTGAGTATAAAACTGTTTCTGAAAAGTTTATATTCTAGAAGGGGAGAGAGAACAAGTGTCACAAATGTCAAGAAAAATATAAAATTCTTTTTTTAAAGTTCACTAGATGTTTACAAATGAGAGAAATTAATATGGTCTGAGTGGTCAAGGAATGCATTCTTTAAACTAGGGCTGAAAAGGGATTTTGAAAATGTATAAATTTTTAAAAAATATTTATTAGAGAGACAGAGCACGAGGTGGGGGAGGAACAGAGGGAGAGGGACAAGCAGACTCTGCTCTGAGTGCAGAGCCCGACATGGGGCTCAATCTCACAACCCTGAGATCACGACCTGAGCCGAAATCAAGAGTTGGATGCTCAACCATCTGAGCCACCCAGGCACTCTGAAAATGTATAAATTTTTAAAACAAACTAGTTACAAGATACAATGGAAGAAAAGATGCCATTTATGAGAAGCATACACTTAACAAGAAAAGTTCTGCATTTATATGAAAAAAAACTATAAAAACTCCCAAAGATACAAACGCAGACTTAATGCTCTGGGTAGGCATACACAACATCTTAAGAATGCAGGTTTTTTCTAAAATCATTTATAAATACAACAGAATCCCAATGAAAGTACCATTAGATTTTTCCTCCTGGGGCTAGACATATTATGAAATTTATTTGCAAGAACAGACAAGCAAGGATAGTTAGGAAAACCTTGAAATTGAAGAGCAGTAAGGATGGGAAGCTAGTCCTCCTACATATGAAAGCATATTATTATAAGCCGTTACAATTTTTAAAATGTGGTACAGGAAAAGACAGACCAATTGAAGAGAATAGAAAATACAGAAATAAGCCCAATTGTGTGTAGAAATTTAGTCTGTAATAAAGACAGCATTCTAAAATCATTGAAGAAAATATGGAATTTTAAATAAATGGTGATTTATTCGATACCAGAATAGCCAACTGGGAAAGGTAGGATTGGATCTACTTCTCATATTATACACCAGGCTGTTAGTATGGAAAGTAGTAACATCATACGAAGTATTAGAAGAAACCATGAGTGAAGTCTTTTATGGCCTATGTATGGGGAAAACTTTCTTGTGACTCCAAATCCAGAAGCACAAAGGGAAAACATAGGTAAGTATAACTACATGTGTGTGTACCCAAGCACTCATATGTTTCTATATATATGTGTACAAATATTTATATATACACACATTCTCTGTCTCAGTAGAAAATACCATAAAAAGACAATGACAAACTGGAAGAATGCTTGCCACTTATATCATGGACAATGTATTAATCTCTCAAATATATAAAAATACTCTAAAACAGAGGCAGAAAAGGACCAATAACTTTATAAAAAGATGGGCAAGAGATAATGAATAGCAAGTTCATGGAAACAAATATAGATTAGCCTTATATGAAAACGTGCCCAGCCTCACAGTGAAAGAGATGCAAATTAAAACAACACGAGATATCATTTCTTTCCCATCAGATGGGCAAAAGTCCAGCATTTTGACAAATAATTTGTTGGTGACTGTGTTTGGAAGCGAGAGCTAGTATATTACATTGAGAATATGCAGCTTATGACCTGCTGAAGGGGGAGGTGCAAGCCACCTACCGGGGGTGGCAGGTAGCTCCCTCATCATCCAAGTTCCCATTTTGGGGAAGTGGAAACCCCCGGGGTCGTTTTGATTGAAGGCGCAATTTCAGTACACCCACACAAAGGAAGTAAAGTCAGAAGATTTGTTACTTACAGATCCCAGAAACAGAAGTGGGGACGCAGAGATGAATTAAGATTCGCCGTGAATTGGTAACTGTTTAGTCTGGATGATAGGGGTTTTCTTATACCATTTTATCATCTTCTGTGAACATTTGAAATTTCCCATGAAAAATGTACAGAGTAGAAGTATGCATAAATGAAGAGAGTGCATTTGGAAGTAAGTCAGTGAGGTCAAAGTGGGCAGTTGGATGTGAAGTTCTTAGACAATTTTATGTTCCTGATTAATTTACAGCAGACTCCCGGGGTGCCTGACTGCCTCAATCAGTATAGCACGTGACTCTTGATCTTGGGCTTGTAAATTCAAGCCCCATGTTGGGTGTAGATATTACTTAAAAATAAAATCTTTAGGGCACCTGGGTGGCTCAGTTGGTTAAGTGTCTGCCTTCGGCCCAGGTCGTGATCCTGGAGTCCCTGGATGGAGTCCTGCATCGGGCTCTCTGCTCAGCAGGGAGTCTGCTTCTCCCTCTGACCCTCCCCTCTCTAGTGCTCTATCTCTCTCAAATAAATAAATAAAATCCTTAAAAAAGATAAAATCTTTAAAAAAAAATAAAGCGGACTCCCTTTATTTCCAGTTTACGTTATATGTGGTTTAGGTAGCTGGTAATCTGTGTGTGTGTGTAAATATAGTGCTTAAGATATATTTTTCTGTTAGTGTAATTCTAAATGTTAAACCAACTTATAAAGTATGAAGTTGTTTATTGGCCCCATTATAGGACCTTTGGATTACCAAAAGAATAATTTGGAGGAAGTGAAATTTTTCTCACACTTTTTATGAGTGCCATATTTTCTAGGAAATTTTGCTTGGGCATTGATTTGGGTGTACCTTGCAAAAAAGAAAATTGAGGGTGGAATTTTTCTTTTTTTTCCAGATTTAACATTGGGATTGTTCAGTTAGTGATTTTTGAGTATGTCATTTTAATAACTTGTAATATTGTATAACTACGTCATACAGAATTACATATAAGATGAAAAACCTGTCTTCCTCTAAATATTTTTGCTTTGTATTCCTCATTCATCTTAGAAAGACAGATAATACAATTTATTTAGTGATATCTAATGGCATTAAGCATGATCATGTTAACTTGTTTTCTATTCTACGAACAGATTAATATTAAAATTGGAAGTTTGGATCAATTGCTGAATATTGGAAATTGGATGTAATGGCAGCAGAATTTATAAAGAGTTGCTGTAGAGGATGTTTCTATGGTGGAACAGAAGAGCACAATTGTGAGTTTGGCTTCTTTTGACTTCAACAAACATGTATTTAATGTCTTTTTTATGTGTGGCATTTTTTAATACAAAGATAATGAGACGTATTTCCTAACTTCATGGGGGAGACAGAAACATAAATAGGAGGCACACTAGGTAAGTATTAAAGTACCCTGGAGCATGGTGGGAGAGAGAGAAATTCAACATTCAACCCCAGAGACACCCTGGGACATCACCACCAAGAGAATGGCATTTGGTATAGGAGTCTAGAATGGATTTCAGCAGCTGGGTCGGAAGAAGGAAGGAAGAAAAGGTGAAAACTGGACCTGAGTATGATAGGTGGATGAAATTGTACAGGCAAAGGCAGGGAGAGAAAAGTGTTGGGTGTGTTTGGGGACAATATACTCTGGCAAATGTTTTCATTTGAATAAAGACAATTTCTAGTTTATGAACAGTACATTAAAAAATACCTTTTCACAAATGAAAGACTAATGGAGAAGAGACCCATTATTTCATCAAGACCCCATATTTATAAAGGACTCCTGGAGAGTTCCCTTTCAATTGCATGGTCTCCTCATCTCTTCAGAGTTACGATTGGAACTTGATTTTTCTCTAGTTTTTTCTTGTATTCCTTCATCTAGAGCATAGCTTTCTAGTATATTTGAGTACGAAGGCTTCTTTTTGCATTAAAACATTTCATAAATTCCTACACAGTAGTTGTTGTACTTTCATTTCTAAAGTCAACAGACAATACTAATTGTACATAAAGATGAACTCTGGGTGTCCCTTACCTCCCCATCCTAAGTCACCAGCTTAGGAATCATATAGCATTTGAGATAGGGATGAAATGGGTCAAAGAAGCTAGCACAGGGAGAGTTGCTATTATATTAGGGTAAAAATACATTTTATTTTGTGATTAGGTGAAGGTTTTTGTAGACTTTGAGACCTTCAGCTTCTTTTCAGAATTCTTTTATATATTTAAGACTGATGTTAACCACCAGTACTGACAACAAGAATTGCTTTATTGACAGTATTTTACTCGAAAGCATCCTGGAATTAAGTACAAAATAAACTTGTTTTCCATCTGTGAACTCTTTTTGTGGGAATGAGTTTCTTTAAAAACTGCTTTTACCATTATGATAAGCTAATATATTTTGGCAATAGTATATTAATTTCTCAAATATTGCCTGGACAGAATTAATGTAGTTTCCAGAAGTGCTTGGTAGGATCTACGAGTAGTAGTTTCCGTATCTGCAGTTTGATTACATAAGTACCAAAGCATGCTAACTTTAGATTATTATATATAACTCTACATTCATATTTGTGATTTTTCTTTTCTCTTCTTTTACATGCAGTTTCCAGGGAGAGAGACATTAAAGCAGTCTCCGAGAGTCAGAATACACCTGTCTGTGTCCCTCCTTTGACTGCTGTTTCGGTAAAGCCTCAGGTTGGCTGTACTGAGGATTACTTACTTTCCAAATTACCATCTGATGGCAAAGAAGTACCATTTGTAGTGCCCAAGTTTAAGCTATCATATGTTCAGCCCAGGGTACAAGGAACTCCTTCACATCTGGAGGGACTTGAAGGTAAACGATGACACGGCAGGATTTAAGAATCAACACATAGCATTTAAATGCTATTGTTTCTGTGATTTTGCTCTTTTGTATCTTGAAAGATATAAAATTATTTTATGTATAAATTTTTATTTTTTATGTTTTGCTTTTTCTGTAGAGGAACTTAATGTATAATATTTTTGAAAGGTCCCATTATGAAATCTGACCACAATCAACACATTTGTATGTAAATGTGGCCTTTTAAAAAAATTTTTTAAATCACTTAATTAACATAGAGTGTATTATTAATTTCAGAGGTAGAGTGGAGTGATTCATCAGTTGCATACAACACCCAGTGCTCATCACATCATGTGCTGTATTTAATGTCCATCACCCAGTTACCCCATCCCCCCACCCATCTCCCCTCCAGCAACCCTCAGTTTGTTTCCTATGGTTAAGAGTCTCTTATGGTTTGTTTCCCTCTCTGATTTCGTCTTATTTTATTTTTCCTTCCCTTCCCCTATGTTCATCTGTTTTGTTTCTTAAATCCACGTATGAGTAAAATCATGTATTTGTCTTTCTCTGACTGATTTATTTCGCTTAGCATAATACTCTCTAGTTCCATCTACGTCCTTGCAAATGGTAAGATTTTTTTTTTTTTTTTGATGACTGAGTAATATTCCAGTGTATATGTAACTTCCCAGTCTAAATAGCCACTTGAGTGAGATAGATTCATTGGGTAAATTTTGGCTGATGTTGTTAGAGGCCAGTGGAGTAATGATGATAAGAAGAAACAACATGTAATTCTTGTATGTTAAAAATAATTTGGGGCGCCTGGGTGGCTCAGATGGTTAAGCGTCTGCTTTTGGCTCAGGTCATGATCCCAGAGTCCTGGGATCGAGTCCCGCATCGGGCTTCCCGCTCCTTGGGAGCCTGCTTCTCCCTCTGTTTCTCTCTGTCTCTCATGAATAAATAAACAAAATCTTTAAAAAAAAAATAATAATAATTTGCTTTAGTCCATTGAAACACTGTCACAATGTTTTTTCCCCCCTCAAAGTTTTTTATGAAAAATTTCAAACATACAGAGAAGTTGAAAGAATACAACAGTGAATACCCATATATCCACCACATAGAATCGATCATTAATATTTTACCATACTTAATCACATATCTATTTATCCATTCCTCTTTCTGTTATTAATCCTTTTTGAGTTGGGGGTGGTGGAGAACACATTTCACAGTAAATTGCAGACATTAATACACTTCCTTCTAAATACTTAAGCATACATGTAATTTACCAGAGTTCACTATCTGTTTACAGTTTTCTTCTTTTGACATAAACCTTATACACAAAGAACTGCCTCAGTTTTAAGTTTGTTTTTGTTGAGTTTGGACAAATGCATGTAACAGTGTAATCCAAAATCCTATCAAAATCTAGAATATTTTTCCAAATATGTTTTTCTGCCCATCCTTTCTTCTCATTCTGGGATTCCAATTAGACATATGTTGGACTTTTTTATATTGTTTTATGGGCCTCTGAGACTTCTTTTGCTTGTTGTTGTTCAATGTTTTTTTCCCCCTCTCTTCTTAAGATTGGATATTATTAATTTTCAAGGTAACTGTCTTTTTCCTCTGTCAGCTCCATATAGCTGTTAAGCCCATCCAGTGAATTTTTATTTTAGACATTGTGTTTTTCAGTTGTTGAATTTACATTTGGTTCTTTTTTGTAGATTCTGTTTCTTTGCTGTGATTTCGTTTTCTTTTTTGCATTATTGTAAGCCTATTTTCTTCTATGTCTTTGGGCTTTAGTATTTTTTTTTTTTTAAGATTTTATTTATTTATTTGA